AATCTAAATTTTTAAGAAGTTCCCCACACGATCCTTTTGAATGCCAGGTTTTAAAGCTGCTTGTGTGGAAGATTTAAGGAACCTTTTAGGTCTAAAATTCTGTGGTCCTACTAAGGTTTCATTTTATGCTCATTTACCTTAGGGATCAAGGACTAGGTGGTGGGAAGTACTATGTAAATCTTCATTTACCAACTCTCTTTGGGAGAAGAGTCAAGCTGAAGTGATTTTTTTTTTCTTCTTGGAGCTAAAAATGTATCTTTTCCTGAGTCCTTATATGGTATAATTGGTTTATTTAACTAATAGGTCTGAGTTCCTGTTATGTGCTAGCTTCTGTACTTGAGGGGCTAGGGATAAAATGATAAACGAGACAGACATTTCTGCCTGTAGTGGGGGCCAGTCATACTCAAAAGAATAAATATGTAATTAAAAACTTTATCAATTATTACCTTAATAAGGATTATCAGGATTGGGTTTTAGAACACAGGATTGGTGGAGATGGCTAGAAATCACTTTTGAGAACCTGCTTGAGATTGCTGACTTAGTCTATTGTACCTTTACTCCAGGTTGTTGAGTCAGGTATTTATTTAGGTTTCATTTTCAGAGCTTAAAGCACTTTGTTTGGGAGTAGATCTCAGGAAGCACTAATAGAGGAGGAAGAAACAGAAGAGAAGGGAAAAATCATGAGCAGATAATTGCTATAGATAACTGCTGGAGAACTCTGGATAGAACAGTGCTGCTAGAGGTAGGGTCTGCAGATGAGTGCCACTCTGTGACCTGTTTGTTACAGGTCTGTAGTAAGTATATACATTGAGTACCTACAGTGGTTTGACTAATATTATGTCCATCAATATAATAAAAAGTTTGAGCTATCTTTTGTAGGTTCCTTTTTTTATTGAGTCATTAATTTTTGTTTTACAAAAGTATCATTTAGTTAAAACAAAAACAGCTCTGTCACCATAGCACAGTTTTTAGAACACATCTCAGAGTTATCCACCAAAGGAGCCAGGAAGATGGGCTAAACCGAAGAATTTAGGTTGATAACTAGGTACTTGAGTTCAAATTGTTTTTCTCCTATCATTACCAGGCTGGGAGGTGAGGCTGGTGTTTTAGGAGTTTGAGGCAGGTGGAATGCCTGTAATAGGTACCTAAAAAGTGTTTTTACCTGGCTTAGTGCCCGTAGCACAGTGGTTATGGTGCTGGCCACATAGGCTGGTGACTGAGGCTGGCTGGTGACCAAGGCTGGCTGGTGACCAAGGCTGGCAGTTTGAACCCAGGCCAGTCCTGCTAAACAACGACAACTGCAACAAAAAAGTAGCTGGGCGTTGTGGTGGGTGCCTATAGTCCCAGCTACTTGGGAGGCTGAGGCAAGAGAATTGCTTAAGCTCAAGAGTTGGAGGTTGCTGTGATTCCAGGGCACTCTACTGAGGGCAACATAGTAAGACTCTGTCTCAAAAAAAGAAAAGTTTTGGGCGGTGTCTGTGGCTCAGTGGGTAGGGCGCTGGCCCCATATACCAAGGGTGGCGGGTTCAAACCTGGCCACGGCCAAACTGCAACCAAAAAATAGCTCGGCGTTGTGGCAGGCGCCTGTAGTCCCAGCTACTCTGGAGGCTAAAGCAAGAGAATCGCTTAAGGCCAGGAGTTGGAGGTTGCTGTGAGCTGTGTGACGCCATGGCACTCTACTGAAGGTGATAAAGTGAGACTCTGTCTCTATAAAAAAAGTGTTTTTGCCAGTTTGTGCTCTGAAAAGCATTTTGAGATTCTGAACTTGAAAATATCGACAAATAAATTTTATCAGTCAAGAATAAATACCCAGAGACCATTTCCCTTATCCAGAATTTATGACGAGATGCTACCATTTTTATTGTCACAATAAATAATATAGTTTAATATAGCTTAGATTATAATACAGTTTCTTGGGTAATGTATTTACTCCCAGAAATTCAAAACATTTCAGGTTTTATTTCTGTGATAAATCAGGAAATGCAGAAATTATTATTTTATGAATATGCATTACCTTAAGCTCATTAGTTTAATTTTTACTTCTGTATTCAGAAAATCTAATTCTTTACCCATCCTAATGTTTTAGCTAGCAATTTTGTAATTACCTTCAGGCAAGTAACTTTATATCGTGTTTCCCTGAAAATAAGATACTGTCTTATATTTATTTTTTCTCAAGAAGACACACTGGGGCTTATTTTCAGGGGATGTCTTCTCTCCATGCTGAAATGCATGGTGTGGCTAGGTCTTATTATTGGGGTAGGGCTTATATTTAACAAATGCATAGAAATCCTGGTAGGGCTTATTTTTGGGGTAGGTCTTATTTTAGGGGAAACGTGGTAGCTATACTCTGGAAATCCTTCTTCTTCCTTTTTTTTTTTTCCTTGAGGCAGAGTCTCATTTTGTTGTCCCAGCTAGAGTGCCATGGCATCAGCCTAGCTCACAGTAACCTCAAACTCCTGGGTAAAAGCAATCCTCTTGACCCAGCCTCCCAAGTAGCTGGGACTGCTGGTGCCTGCCACAGTGCCCAGCTAATTTTTCTATTTTTGGTAGAGACTGAGGTCTTGCTCTTGCTCAAGCTGGTCTTAAACTCAAGGAACCCTCCTGCCTTGGTATTCCAGAGTGCTAGGATTACAGGTGTGAGTTATTGCACCCAGGCTAGAAATCCTTATTCTAGAGCATGCATCCTCAAACTACAGCTGCAGGCCACATGTGGCCCGCCCAGGACATTTATCCCATCCACCAGGTGTTTTTGCCGGCTGCTGCCTGTCCTGCTTAGCAGCTGACTTGTCCTGGGGCCCACAGTCCAGCCCTCCAATGGTCTGAGGGACAGTAAACTGGCCCCCTGTTTAAAAAGTTTGAGGACCCCTGTTCTAGAGGGAGGACTAAGTCCCTCCCTTTATGATTAAAAATTGGCAAAGACTTGGGATGGTGTGCTGCTTGCCCTTATTCCCTCATTAGTACTAACACTCTGGATTTCTTTTTTTGTGTGTGTTTGTTCTGTTTTACTTTTTAGGACAGCTTATTCTGTGTTGTAGCGGCATTTGGCTGTTTCTACTATTGAATCTTTTGAAGATCTGGGAAAAAGATATGACCATGAAGAAATCTGAACTTTTTTATATTGTTAAATATCTTGACAAAATAAAGATAAGTTGCCAGTTTGGCAACTGAATCTGTTGTTTTAGGCTATATAGATAATGTGTATATATAGAGAGAGAGCACACACATATATTTATTTTTTAAATTATTATGGGTACATGATAGTTTATATCTTTTAGCCTTCTGTTTTTGATGTTTCATCTTGTATGTTTTCAATATGTTTGGAAAGTAGAGAAAAAGGAGAAAATCGGTTTCAATTCAAATGTAATCAACTGTAAATATATGGGTCTATTTCTACCAGTGGGTTTTTTTTTGAATTTGCAAAGTTTAAAAAAATCATGTATGTAATTTTGTATTCTGATTTTTCACTTTCTCATGTTATGAGCTGTGTTTATGTCATTGTATTTGCATTATGATTTTCACAGGCATAATTTAATAGCTGCATTTATTCCATTAGGTCATACCATTGTTATTTTTGCCATTTCCTTATTGAGGGACTGCTTATTTCTAATTTTTCACTATTATAAAAAATACAGAGAGGAATTTGTGTGTAAAACTTTCTCCTATGTTTTGAATTATTGCCTTTATCTCTCAGTATTTTTGCTAAGCAATTGCTATCCTATCCTTTACATAGCTTATTAGCTTACACACACATCCATTTTCTCTAGGATTTGTGTACAGTATCAGGGTGTGAAAAGTTCCAAGCTGTGTTATGAAATTGGCCCTCCTTTAAGATTTTCTGAAATTCTTATGTTGGTTACTATCCAGATCCTACTTTTTTTGGGGGGGGGGGTAGAGACAGAGTCTTACTTTATCGCCCTTGGTAGAGTGCTTTGCAGTCAGAGCTCACAGCAACCTCCAACTCCTGGGCAGGCGATTCTCTTGTCTCAGCCTCCCGAGTAGCTGGGACTACGGGTGCCCACCACAACACCCAGCTGTTCTTTTCGTTGCAGTTTGGATGGGTCGAGTTTGAACCTGCCACTCTCCATACATGGGGCCGGCGCCCTACCCACTGAGCCACAGGCACCGCCCGATCTTACTATCTTTGTAGTTATGTTTTTCTCAGAGGTTCTGGTGTCATTCTTGAGACTTAGATTTAAATCCTCGCCTCAGCCCCAAGTTCCTCAGCAGGTGCGCAAGTTGACCTGTCTTTTCAGCCACTTCCAAATCAAGCATATAGACAAAACGCAAACAAACTTTTTATAAAGTTCATTTACATTCTTCTTCCATAACATTGTGTTATCCATTTGCCTTACATCTACGGAATCAAAAAGGGACCCTTCCAAAAGTTCATTTTATCAACGAAGACGTTTCTCCTCATCATCCACCCTACTACAGCATCTTTTCCTCCCTTGAATCCACTCCTGCTCCGCTCTCATTTGACTCCTGGGGGTCACTGGGTTAAAAATAACAGAAGAGAGAGGGCTGGGTCAGCCACAGGTTTTCACTGTACTTGTTTGGGACGTGAATTCCCCTCACAACACCCAGTCGGTAAAAGCTGGCGCTGTGGTGATGCAGGTGAGGACCGGGCCTCGGGGCCTCTGCACTGTCGCCGGGTGCGAGCGGGTACTGTGGGAAGCAGCATCACAGACACGTCCGTGTGCGCGAGACTCGGCCCACAGCCGGGCCAAGGGTGCGCTGCCGGTTATGCTTCCCTACGGACTGTTAGTGAGCGCTTGTGACAGAACGCATCCGTATCCCACTCTGAGAAGGTGTCCTTGCATTCTCCCGTTCCGGATGGAGCGTAACCCTTAGCCATTCCCTCTCCTGTTTCGGCTCGGTCAATTCGTCCCTGGGGCCTGAGTGGAGGCGGAACTACTGTGTCGGGGTGGTGGTTTTCGGAGAGAAGTCGTGGTCGGATTGGCAAGACGGCGGGCTGGAGGCGGGACTTCCGGGCTGCTGTTCCGTCAGCTGCCTTCCCGGGCGTCTCCCCGCAACCTCTTCAACTTCTTGTCAGTGACGCGGCGCCCGGGAGAAATCCGAGGGGATTGGGGTCGAGGAAGCGTGAGCTGCCGGTAAGAACCCAGTGTGTGCGTATTCTTGTAGCTCTGTTTGAAAGGAGAAACTATGGGACTGGAACGACGAGAAAACTGACTGAAGGCTGGTCAGTGACAGTGAGGGGAGTGTGAGGCAGGGGCTGCGAGGCGACTGTGACCGAGGGGACTGTGACCGCGGTGTGAGGTGTAGCTGCTTGCAAGGGGTCTGCGACCCAAGAGCAGTGAATATGGAGGACTCCGACCTCGTAGAGCACGAGGCAGAGGCTGTGACGGGACTCTGACCGGGGAAGTATGTGGCAGTGATCGTGAGGGACTGTGACCGAGGAGACTCTGATCGATGAATGGTGACTGAGGGAACTGTGCCCTAAGGGAAGATGAAACGGGCTGCAAGCCGACTCTGACCAAGGGGCAGTGACTCTGAAGGGCTGACTTGGAGACGAGCATAGGCTCAGTAATTGGTGTTGGTACACGTATTGTAGGGCTGTGTTGGGGCACGGGATGTAATTAGCTGTGACTGGGCAGAGAAGGTGTTTAACGGAAAGAACACTGGTCCGGGCCTTAGACGTGAGTTTAATTTTATGGAAAAACTTCTTGTGGTTGGAAAACTTCAGTACGAGTTAAACTTTCTTCATCAGTGACTGGAAAGTTTGGACTAGTTAAATGTCACCCCAAACTACAGGTTCTATCCTGTTACTGGCTTATGAAATCAATTTAGTGGATGGCACCAGTAATTATTTTTAAATGGAATAGAATAGAAATTTTCAATGTGTTCATATAGTAAAGGTAAGTATTGTTTCATGAAATTTGTTTCAGTTATGTGTGTATGAGATTATCAGGTAAAATGCATTTTGTACATGTTAAAATGTGTGAAGTAAAAAGTAGCAAAAAAGTTTGAAAGACATTGGACCAGATTATTTCCTTAAAAATTTTTTTTTTAGTGGCAGCGTCTTACTCTGTTGCCCAGGCTGGAGCTGCAGTGGGGTGGCGTGATCACAGGCTTACTGTAACCTCCAGTGCTCAAGTGATCCTTGGCCTCAGCCTCCTGAGTAACTAGGACTACAGGCTGTGCCATCATGCGTTGCTAATGTTTTCTTATTTTTTGTAGATATAGGGTCTTACTCTGTTGCCTAGGCTGGTCTTGATTCTGACCTCAGACTTCCCATGTTGGCCTCCCAAACTTCTGGGATTACAACTGATCCTGGACCCAGACTTCCCACGTTGGCCTCCCAAACCTCTGGGATTACAACTGATCCTGGACCTGGATTTCTGAGTTTTCTTTCAGGTCTAAAATGTAATGATTCTATTAGTATAAGTCTATTAGTGGATGGTTTGAAAGTACAAAGATGCAATTGGAAAGACTGTATCTAGGGCTAGAACACAGGCTCTATCGAATAGACTTAATTGGAGAAGACTTCCTGAATGTAACTGAGGTGACTAATTATGACTGAGAGGTGAAGCTGAAATTCAGGATCTCTCTTGGGAGAACCACAAGTTATATTGAAATAGGGACAGTGATATTTATAGAGGAAGTGAGGATTTAGGGGTTGCTGGTAGAAGATGCTAAGCATACACATTGAGGAAAGGGAAGTGTGGAGGTACTAGCAAGTCCTGGGAAGGGAACTGAAGATAAGAGACAGAAAACACTTTGCCAAGAATGAAATGAAATTAGGAAGAATGACCCTCCCATCCTATTTAATCTTGATACCTAGGTAGTTGTCAAAGTCAGAGAATTGCTGCTAAAAAAGATGTTGAGAAAGGGATTTTAGTGCAGTAAGAATGGTAAAGAAATGATGACAATCATGAGGAAGAAAGGTGGACAAAAGGATGACAATGGGAATGTCAGCAGTGGGAGAGGCTTTAATGTATTTGGCTATCCAACTTAGGGACTTGTGTGCTGGAGGCCAATAATTCACTAGCATATTGAGAGTGACACCAGAAGTTTTACCTACTGGTTTTATTTCCTGGTTATTCCCTTTCATGAGGCCTGTTAGTGTTGCAGATGAAATTAACTAAAGTGAGTGTACTACTTTCTCTCTTATAGTCCTCTTGTAGAAAGTGCTATTGATTGTGCCACTCAGTGCCTTTTTTTTTTTTCTTTTTTGAGACAGAATCTCAAGCTGTCACCCTGGATAGAGTGTTGTCATAGCTCATAGCAACTTCAACTCTTGGGCTCAAGCAATCTTCTTGCCTCAGTTTTTCTATTTTTTAGTAGAGGCAGGGTATTGATTTTTGGACAGGCTGGTCTTGAACTCCTGATTTCAAGCATTCCATCCTCGTTGGCCTCCCAGAGTGCTAGTATTACAGGTATGAACCACCACGCCTGGCCCACCCAGATCTAGAAAGATCTAATAAGGGGCACCAATGGCTCATGCCTGTAATCCCAACATTCTGAGAGGCCGAGGTGAGTGGATTGCCTGAGCTCACAGTTTTGAGACTAGACTGAGCAAGAGTAAGACCCTGTCTCTAAAAATAGCCCAGCATTGTGGAGGGTGCCTGTAGTCCCTGCTACTGGGTAGGCTGAGGTAAGAGAATTGCTTGAGCCCAAGAATTAGAGGTTGCTGTGAGCTAAGATACCGTGGCACTCTACCAAGGGCGACAAAATAAGACTCTGTCTCAAATAAATAAAAGAAAGATCTAATAGGAGAAGCTTGAGGTCATTTTAATTTATCAGATACTGTATTAATCTGATTACCTAATAGTCATCCATGCCCTGTACACATATACAACACTATAATATAGGAGAGAGTTCAGGAAAGTTTTGAACTGGGAATGGGTTGGGATTGGTGGGAGATAGCCTTTCTTTGGCTAAAAAAAAAGAAAAGGCTAGTTTTCTAGGATATTAGAAGATTACTGGACTTACATTCTACATAAGTTAAAAAGAACTATGCAAAAGTTTCTAGAATAGAATATATGCTTCAAGATAAGAGACTATGGCTCGGCGCCTATAGCTCAACCGGCTAAGGCGCCAGCCATGTACACCTAAGGTGGAGGGTTCGAATCCCCAGCCTGGACCCGCCAAACAACAATGA